CACCGGAGAACATGCAGCTCCATCAAGATTTCCATAATTTTTTAGCTGTTTACATTCCTTGACTTGATTATTGATTGATCTGTCATCATTTCGTCGCCAATAGGCCTCCTTTTTTAAGCTCTCTTTCGCCCTCTCTCTCTCTCTCCATGTGGGGGATGGACAAATAACCTCCTTTAAAATAAGTTGAACTTACGTCGGCTTTTTGTTTGTACTTTTCGTCATTTGTTTTTCCCCACGATTATTGATTCTTGTTCTTATTTTTAGTGTCCCCATATTTTGAACTATTGATCGCCGTTCAACTCATCACCGCCATACAATTCACCCAGTTATACTTTGACGTCTGATTGACTGACTGATTAGCAAAGCAAATTGGGCTCCTCTGTCTCTCATAACAAACGTTCTCGCGTTTTTTTTAATCTCCCTCACTATCTCCCTCTCTCTATTAAAATTGTTATTGATTTGGATTGTCATGGTGTTGGTTGGTGTGAGTAGGCCTGTTTTTATTATCTTGGCATTTTACACGAGGTTGACATCGTTTAGGCTGCTCCATGAAATATAGGGTTGCCATGCGTATGATATTTAGCAAAAATCTTGGGAAGGGGGTATAATTGTCATTTTTTTTGCTGATATAATTGTTAAAAAACTTAATTTTAGGTTTTTTTTTGAAAAAAACGTAATTTTAGTTTTTTTTTTGGGAAAAGACATCATAAATTCCCAACTTTTCCTATTTCAAATTGGCACTATAGTTTGAAAAAAAAAAAAAATAAATTAGATCCAGGATTTGCTACGTCACGCCTATGATAATATAGTTCCTAACAGGGTTTACAATCATTCAGAAAATTCAGATGTATATTTTTTAATTTTTTTATATAGCTTTCCAGTTTTACGAAAACAATTTCTCTCTAAAAAAACCACGTACTTGGATTAGATAGCAACATAGGATCACGTTTTGGTGTAATCGAATTTAGGATTTTTTTCGGAGAATGCATCTTTACCTTTCCACTCCTCTAGTTTCATCTTTTTCAGTCGATAAAAATCCTCTTAACGAAATTGTCTACGTTTTTGGATATCTCTACCAAAAATATTCTTGATATCGAAAATTCATTTATTTACTATGCGTCCTCCATTTTGTTCTTAATGTTTCTCAGGAAATATTAAAAAAATCAATGATTATTGGTCCATGGACGCTTTAAGAAATATTCTTAAAAAATCGAAGAACTCTTCAAAAATCCATGATTTGCCTAATCTATTTAAAGAAATATCCTTAAAAATCCTTCGGAAAAATATTTAAAAATTAACAATTTTCGACCTAAGGGGCCTTCAAGACAATCCCCTATAAATGGTCTGTCGGTCTCTGACAAATATATTCAAGTTTAGCAAAGTTGCCTGAATTTTGTACACCTTGGTCTCTCGTTGGGCGCCACTAGATGAAAAAATTTAATTATGCCTAACTTAAGCGTATTTTTAGCCAATTATATTACGAATAATCTCAGATTTTTTGAGTTCATCCAAAAACGGATTCTTCATTTGGCCACCATTATTTATGGGCAACACAAGAGAAAAAACTTCGCTTACCCCGAATTTTGGCATATTTTTGGGGCATTCATATTTCAAAAAGTCTTAGATCATTCCAAATGAAAACCGCCATTTCCTGTGCCCCGCATTGGGCGCCAATCTTTATAATTTATATTTGTAACCCATTAAAAGTATAATAAATGGCCTTAGGCCTCTCCCGCGGGACCCACGATGGTCGCCACAATGGGATTTAATTATCCTACAACTGCTTTTTGGTTTATTTTTTTATTTTCAATTTTGAATCTTTAAAATTTAAAAAAAAAATCATTAGCAACCCTAAATATATTTTTATAAAATTTATTTTTATTTGCCTTCTAGCTATTTTGGAAAAAAAAAATATATTCTTAAAAATCAGGTATTTGAAAAAAAAAAAAATTAAGAGACACCTTGACATTTTAACGGAAATCTGAACAAATCTACCATTTATAAAAAGTGGATCCTTCAAAAAGTATTTTTAAAAACTTCACAAATTCACCGCAAGAATATTTTTTCAAAGAATTCTCTATTGATTCTTTAAGAAATATTAAAAGTACCTCCCCCGCAAAAGGTCGAAATTTGGAATAATTATAACTCTCTAAAAATGTGATGAAAGAGTCTTCAATTGTCTTCAAATTACACACATCACAATATATTTATTAACCCAAGGTGTGGTGTAAAGATGGAATACATCGGTCTACTCTTTCTGGTACCTCCCCCACAAAGGGTCAACATTTTGAATATCCGTGAAGCTCATAAAACGCGAAATTAACATCCGATTCCGTCCAGACTTGGCACATCTCAACATTTCTATCAACACAACATCCTTTATAAAGATAAAAAAGGTCGGACCATTCCTTCTGGTACCTCCCCCACAAAGGGTCAACGTTTTGAATAACCAAAACGATTATAAAATCCGAAGTAAGCATACAGGTCTCTTCAAATTTCACACATTTCATTATTACTACGAACACAAGATCTCCTGTGAAGACCGGATGTATCGGTGCACTCCTTCTGGTACCTTCCCCACAAGGGGTTAACATTTTGAATATCCATGAAGCTCATAAAACGAGAAATTAACATCCGATTCTGTTCAGACTTGGCACATCTCAATATTTCTAGAAACGCAAGATCTGTTATAAAGATAAAAGATGTCGGACCATTTCTTCTGGTACCTCCGAAAAAAACGATTATAAAATCCGAAGTAAGCATTCAGGTCCCTTCAAACTTCACACATGCCATTATTTCTACGAACACAAGATTTCCTGAGAAGACGGGATATATCAGTGCACTCCTTCTGGTACCTTCCCCACAAGGGGTTAAAATTTTGAATATCCGTGAAGCTCATAAAACGCGAAATTAACATCCGATTCCATTCAGACTTGGCACATCTCAACATTTCTATCAACACAAGATCTGTTATAAAGATAAAAGAGGTCAAACCATTCCTTCCGATACCTCCCCTATAAAGGGTCAATATTTTGAATATCCATTAAGATCATAAAACGCGAAATAAACATGCCATTCAGTTCACACTTGGCATATCTCAATATTTCTTGCAATGCAAGATTTGTTATAAAGATAAAAGAGATCGGACCATTCCTTCTGATACCTCCCCTACAAAGGGTCATAGTTTTGCATAAATAAAACCATGATATATATCTGCGAACCCCTTTTGGTATCTCACCCACAGCGATTCTTTAAAAATTGCTGAGGAAAACCGACTGATACTTTTTAACTAGTTTTTTTTTTATTTTTTTTTTTTTTTTGAAAATCGCTACTACCGCTACCTTAAATAGCCAAAGACGCTACTGTATCGATTTAAAAAAGAAAATCGCTACAACACTTAAACAGTGATTTTTATGCATCAAAAATCACCGAAGTAGCGGGAAAACATAATCAAATTGGCATCTCTGGTTGTTTTTACCTTTCCCACACACATACACATCTCAATCTCTTCCTCTCAGTACATATTTATGCATGAGACTCTCATGGCCCATGAGTAGTCATATTTTTTTTATTGCATTACTGTTGTTATTTAATTTTGCCTTCAATTTCTGCTCCAGATATGCTCACAATCACGGTTGCCACTCCAAATTTTTTTTCGGGACCAAAATTCATCAAAAAAAGGACCAAACCAAACAAAAAAGGACCAATTTGTTTGCAATTTTTTTCGCATATCCTCAATGCTTACAATATTATTTAACACAAAAAGTAAAAATGAAGTGTAAAGATTTCTAAACATTAACAAAAAGTGCTTCAATTCAATTTGCACATAAATACATAAAACAAATTAACATAAAATTTATACAGATATATTGATATAAATGTATATAATAAAATATAATAAAAATAATATAATATGATGGTGATTCTATTCTAAGCCCAGCCTATGTGTTTTACTGACCAAACATAATGAGGCTCTGATTTTTGCGCACAAAGTTCTTTGGACAGCATTATATTATTGATTGAACTGAACTCTAATTTATTCCTTAATTTGGTTTTGATAAGAGAAAGTTCAAAAAATTTACGTTCTGCTGCCGCCGAACTATGTGGAAGGCTCAATAAATCATATACAAAATCAGTCAATTCTTGAAAACATTTCTCATCCATACCGTTTTTATATAAACTAACTTTTTCCCAAAATACACAAACGTCCATATCAGGTTTAAGATTACTGTTTAAAAGTCTTAAGAGTTTCCATTGTGTTAAAATAATATCTATATCACATTTAATTAAATGAGAAAAATTGCTTACTAAAGGCATTATTGAAGTTTCTGTGTCTGATAGAACTTTGTTGGGGGTAATTATGCATAAATTTTTTAAATCAGTTCTTCCAAAGTCAAACCGTTGCTGAATTTGTTTCAAAAATTCAACGTAAAAGTTTAAAATATTTGTTTTAATTGTGATTCGTTGCGAATCCGTAAATTTATCGCTTTCAAGAAAGTTTTCTGCGCTACTTCCTATAAAAATATTTTTAACTTGCAGATATTTCGTTTTGTCATGTATATTAAAATTTTCTAGACAATCAATATTTTTTACAAAGTCGTTATGCATAAAATTACTCAAAAGTAGTTTAAAATGTACTTCAATTTGGGAGTACAAAAAGGGTAAGCGAACTTTTTCAGATTGAAACTCTTTATTCAGGGTATTAATTATTTTCAATACGTAGGCCAAAAACAACATGTAAACTTTTAGTTCCGGATCACCCATTGAATTCGCTAATTCAAATGCACTAATGCCACTTACTTCAAGACACGAGGATAAAAAATATAGTCGAAGCGCTTCCCACTGTTCATTAATCCGTGCAATCACACTTTCCAGAGCGAGCCAACGAGTAAAAGAAATTCCAAGTATTTTATGAGGTTTTACGCCACAATAATCCTGAAATTCCTTGAACTCGTTGATTCGCTTTGGGCTGTGCGAGAAAAATTTGTATATATCTCTACACAGCTTTTCAATTTTTGCTGGTAGCTGTTTGCTGGCGTAGCTCGAACACAAATGCAGCGAGTGGCAAGTGCATTTGATGTAAAATATATTAGTATCATTTTTTAATTTTGTTTTCAGCCCATTTAATTCGCCGGCCATCGTATTGGCTCCGTCAGTTGCTAGCCCTATCAAATTACTTAAAGGTACACTGTGCGTTTCGAAAAATGACTTTATCGTTTGGTATATTGCCTCAGAATCGCTTTTGGTAAGTTCAACTAGTGATAAAAATCTGTCACGAATGGTATTCGATAACTTATCAAAATACCTTACCACCAGAACCAGACACTTTGTTGTTGATACGTCCGTGGTTTCGTCCACAATCAAAGAGAATTTACACGTTCTGAGATCCGATACTATTCTTTTCATTGCTTCGTTCCCTAAAATCTCTGCTAGCTGGGTCGATTTGGTTCTGCCGCAGCGTAAAGACTGCGCTATTTTTGAGTCCGGACAACACACGGCTAGCAAATTTGGCAAATAATCCATAAGGATAAATGGAAGATTATGTGCTATTATGAACATCACTAAACTGAATTCTGCGTTTCGGATTTGCTTTTCTAAAGTATCATTTTGTTCTTTAAGAAAAGAATCTAACTTCACTTGGCCCTTTTTCTTGATCAGATTTTGAACATGGCTTGATTGCTCTGTGTGTCGTTTTAGCTTCGCTACGTGGTTCACCATGGACTTTTCGCAAGCAGTGCAGTATGCGCTCCCATTTTGCTCTTTGAGCCAATTAAATTGGGTTAGCCATTCTTTCCGAAATTTGCGTTTTGGATCCTTTTTTTCGCCAGCTGTGTCGCTAAATATAGAATATGTAATCAATTAATACGTACTTATGTAAGTATGTATGTATTTATTACCTTTCACTGCCATCACTTTCGACTGACTGCGTGGGAGGCCGTTGTTCTGCAACCTTCGCCTTCTTTATCAAAAACCTGAAACAACATATCAATCAAAGCAAAAATTTAAATTCCATTTAAATCTTATCCATTAACTTACTTGTCCATGGTAAATTATTGTCTAGTTTTACTTTTACACAAACAATTACATTATAAAATATTCGTTACACTGAAGTTAATTTGTCAATTTCTGATTTGTAAACAAAAGAAACAATTGACCAGTGTTGTCAATTTAGCTTTTTCCCGCTAGATCTAGCTTTGTTTTTTGACTGACAGGTAATATTGCCACTTGATTTACTATTGTGGGTTGGTAAAATTTGATTATATTTTCAAGTGTTGTCAACGAATCAAATCTTTCGCTTTATGTGAACCGTGTTGATTTTCGTAAATAAATTTTTAAAGGCGTGATGAAACACTCAAAATTTCTTTGTACCATAATTGTAAACATTTTCATAAAAGGGACCAAATCAGAAAAAAGTGGACCAGTGGACCAAACGTAAAAAAAAGGACCATTTTTGGTCCAATTGGACCAAAGTGGCAACCGTGCTCACAATTTATGCCCTCGTATTGATTGGTAACAGCCTTCTCTCTGGCCTTTGCAAAATAACCGTTGTTATATTATGGTGGGAGGGAGAGAGAGAGAGAGCGACTTTGGGTGATTTGTTGTGGCGAAAAAATACCATGGAGAGCATAAATTGGTCCACTCTTCGTATGGCAATTGTTTTTGCATGACGCTCAGTCATTGTTGGTTGGGGGTGTGAGAGGCCAAAATGTGTTTGTGTTTTTTTAAAGGAGAATTTGGGACTCTCCCTTTCTGTGTTGGGTTGTTGTTTTGGGGTGGCCATTTCAATGTTAATTTCATTTCATAGTAAGATGTTGTTTTTTTTTTTGTTTTTGTGGGGGCCTCTCTTTCTCTTTCTGTTTTTGATTTTGTATATAATTTGTTCTTTGTTGTTGGCTGTGGGCCCCCTCTTTTGTTTTTGCTGTGCGATTTTTTTTGTGTCTTTTTTTTTCCTCGTAACCGTTTCGTGTGTTTCTTTCACACACGAAAAAAATACAAGATTCAGTTTTATTAATTGTGAACGACGGCGGCGGGCACATAAAAGTATCGCGCCTAAAAAAACAATAATTTTTTTCGTAGTTCTTTTTTTGTGTGATTTTTTGCAACTCTCAAGTGAAACCCAAAGAAAGCTGCTAAGAAAGTATTTATAAAAACCATTGGTGGTTACATGAAAGAAAATCATAATTAAACAAGAAAATTTGCCAAAAAAAAAAAAAGAATTATTGCCTGAGGTGTTTTGAGTGAATGAATGCTGTTGGGCTGTGCGCGGGCCATAACCGGCCAGCCGTGTCGTAATCTACGCATTTGCGAAAAAAAAATGTGCTGCTGTTGTTAGACAAAAAAGATATACAATTCAACTATGATTTTTTGGTTTTTCAATAGAGCTGTGTTGAAAGGCCTAATTGTGCCCTCCTATCCCCTCCAGTGGTGTAGAGTATAAAATAAAAAAAAAAAAAAACAAAAATTAAAATAAGGTGTTAATGTGGAATCTGTGGAGTTTGCAAAGAGGGCCTTGTGAATACACTGAAAATTGATTTAAAAATTCGCAACAACATTAAAAAAAAAAAAAAATATTGAAAATATAAAAAAAACCAAAATATTTTTGTTGCTCTTCTCGAAAACTCTTTGTTTTCAATTGTGAATTTTTCACTTTTCCTTCGCTTTTTGTTCTGGAAATTGCATGCAATTGTTTTTGTTCGTCATCATCCAACATGCTGGTCAATCGTGGTTCCATTAATGAAGGTAATATAATTTGTTTAATTCTATTTTTGGGGGAAATTTTTTTATTTCAATCTTTAATAGAGGCATCCCTAACCCCGAATTTATGAAACAGCTTGGCTTGAAAATAATGGGGGATCTCTTGGGTTTTGTGTCATCTCATTGTGATCACAAAAAAAAAAAAAAACAACAAAAACATTTGCTAATTTCTACTGTGTTGGGGAGAGAAATTATGAGAGAGAGGGAGAGAAAGCAATATATTCCACAACAGATACCGTTGTATGTTTTCTTGATCTCTCTCCCTCTCTATCCCCTCCTATCCGAAATTCTCACAAAATATGCATTGGTAATGAGGAGAGAATCTCTTGTTTCCTTTGCTAAACAACGGAAGATGTAATGAGAGATAAGGAGAAACTTGGTGGTTGGTGCATGATTATCCCATTTTTAATTTGGGATCTGTTAGAGGCTAGGGTTACCAGCACAAGAAAAATCTAGACTATGAAGATGGAGGCCAATAGATAAATAAATAAAATAAAAACAAGTACAAAACATGAAAAAAATACTAAAAATTAAAAATAATAAATTGATAGTTGGTGTAAATAAGTGATAATTGATTTTTGGTCGGCTCTTTGGTATTACGTCAAAAAAAAAAAAAAAAAAATGCAACTAAATTATCAATTTTATATCTGACAAACCCTTTTGCCGTTTGAAAATATCTCTTAGATATAGAAACTTTCCTAAATTTGGTCGAATTGTTTGTGTGAGGCAACTATTTAAATTTCGACCAAAAGGTAGTACAAAAAATGTTAGAATGTTTTTTACTACTTTTTGATGTAGTGGATATTCGCGAGGCTGGTAAGAGCCCTATAAAAATTATCAGCATATGTCCACTTTGTGCCCCAAAAATTTCGACCATTTTTTTGTATTTCTAATATTTTTGGTCGCAATTCTTAAACCAATGTTGCTATAAGTTGTCGTTTTTTTTTTTGTTTAAAATTAATGGGAATTATAGAATTTAAACAAAATATTGGTAAATATCAGCTTTGAGATTCCGACCAATTTTTGACATATTACAGAGTTTGGTCGTTTTAATGAGTTTTTGAACAATTTAAACCCAAAATTAAATCCAAAAATTAGAAAAATGTGCCCGATCTGGCAAATTTTGCTCACATAATTTTTATATTTTTTGGTATAACTACATTTTTTTGGTAGTTAAAATTTTAATAGTTTTTTTTTTTTTTAAAAAGGTGGTTATTATTGAATGTTTACAATGGAGTAAACTAACAGAATAAAAAAATCACCATATGTTTATTTTTGGCACAAATTTTCCACCATTTTTTTTTGAAATTTCAGGACTTTGGTCGATTTTTTTTAAGTAAAGTGTTCAATATGTGGAGAAAAAACATAGATTAAAATAAAATAACCTTAAAAACAAAATTTTATTTTCGACCAATTTTTGGTATAAACGTTCGCCCACTTTTTTTGAATTTTCCGGACTTTGGTCGAATTTTCTTTTGGCGTATAGTGTTCAAAATGTGAAGGAAAAACATAGATTTAAATAAAATAAAGTTAAAAACAAACTTTTATTTTCCGACCAATTTTTGGTATGTGAACATTTTGGTCGAATTTTTTAAAATGTGTTTAAAATTTGGAAATTTATTTCTTTTATAATTTATAATTGGTCGAAATATTACCCTACAGAATCTGCTAATTTTGGGCTCAATTATTTCGACCATTTTGTATATATTGACGATTTTGGACACAGATTTGTAACCAATTTTGGCATAAGTCGGTATTTAATATTCAAAATGATTAGAAAATCTTAGTTTAAAGAATATAAAAAAATAAAGACCATCTTTTAGTTTCCGACCATTTTTTTTGGCACATTGAAATTTTCTGTCGCGTATTTTTTTAATTTGTAAATTTATGATTTTGTAGATTAGAAAATTTCGAAATTAATTACCGTCAAACACTTGTTAATTTTGGGGCCAATTGTTTCGAGCACTTTTTGTATATTGACAATTTTAGACGCAAATTTGTAACCAATTTTAGTATACTCGGTATTTAATATACAAAATGATTAGAAAATCTTAGTTTAAAAATATAAAAAACTAAGGACCATGTTTAAGTTTCCGACCAATTCTTTGGTATCTCGAAAATTTTGTTCAAATTTTCTTAAAAAGTGTTTAAAATTTGGAAATTTATATTTTTATAATTTAGAAAACGGCGAAATAAATTACCCCATAAAAATTTGTTAATTTTGGAACCATTTGTTTCGACCATTTTTTGAATATTGGCGAAATTTGCGATTTTGGACATAAATTTGTAACAAATTTTGGTAAAGTCAATATTTCATATTCCAAATGGTTAGAAAATGCTAGTTTAAAGAAAATAAAAAATAAAGATCAACTTTTAGTTTCCGACCACTTTTTTTGGGGAGTTAAAAATTCTGGTCGAATTGTATAAAAGTGTTTCAAATTTGGAAATTATGTTTTATAATTGAAAAAGTGTCGAAATAGATTACCCCATAAAAAAATTGCTAATTTTGGAACCAAATATTCCGACCGCTTTTTGTATATTCACGATTTTGGACGCAAATTTATAACCAATTTTACAACAACTCGGTATTTAATATTCAAAATGATTAGAAAATGTTAATTGAAAGAAAATAGCAAGAAAAGACCAACTTTTAGTTTCCGACCTATTTTTTTTTGGTATGTTGAAATTTTTGGTCAAATTTTCTTAAAAAGTGTTTGAAATTTGGAAATTTATATTTTTATAATTTAGAAAGCAGCGAAATAAATTATCCCATAAAAAATTTGCTTATTTTGCAACTAAATTTTTCGACCACTTTTTGAATTTGGTAGAATTTTTTTGGTATGTTGGCGGTTTTGGCCGCTTTTTTTGTAATCAATTTTAGCATAAGTTGGTATTTAATATTCGAAATGATAAGAAAATGCTAATTTAAAGAATATAAAAAATGAAGACCAACTTGTAGTTTTCGACCATTTTTTGATATGGTGAAATTTTTGGTCGAATTTTTTAAAATTTGGAAATGTATGTTTTTATAATTTTGAAAGTGTCGAAATAAATTACCCTATACAAAATTTCTTCAGTTTGGACCGAAATGTTTCGACCACTTTTTATATTGACGATTTTGGACGCAGATTTGTAACCAATTTTGATATAAGTCAGTATTTAATATTCAAATGACTAGAAAATGCCAATTGAAAGAGAATAGCAAGAAAAGACCAACTTTTAATTTCCGACCAATTTTTTTGGTATGTTGAACATTTTGGTCGAATTTTTTAAAAAGTGTTTAGAATTTGGGATATTTATGTTTTCATAGATTAGAAAATTTCGAAATAAATTATCCCATAAAAAATTGCAAATTTTGGAACCAAATATTCCGACCACTTTTGGTATTTTGACGATTTTGGACACAAATTTATAACCAATTTTGATATAAGTCAGTATTTAATATTCAAAATTATTAGAAAATGCTAATTTATTGAAAATAAAAAATAAACACAAACTATTAGTTTCCGACCAATTTTTTGGTATGTTGAAATTGTTGGTCAAATTTTTAAAAAAGGGTTTTAAATTGGAAAATTTATGTTTTTTTTAATTTAGAAAGTGTCGAAGTAAATTTCCCCATAAAAATTTGCTATTATTTGGAACCAATTGTTTCGACCACTTTTTGTATATTGACGATTTTGGACGCAAAATTGTAACCAATTTTGGTATAAGTCGGTATTTAATATTCAAATTGACTAGAAAATGCTAATTGAAAGAGAATAGCAAGAAAAGACCAACTTTTAATTTCCGACCAATTTTTTGGTATGTTGAAAATTTTGGTCGAATTTTTTTTTTTGTGTATATTGACGATGTTGGACGCATATTTGTAACCAATTTGGATATATGTCAGTATTTAGTATTCAAAATAATAAAGACAAACTTTTGGTTTCCGACCAATTTTTTGGTATGTTGAAAATTTTGGTCGGTTTTTTTTAAATTGTTCAAAATTTGGCAATTTATGTTTTTAAAGGTTAACAAATTCTTGAAAGGCATATATTGTTGTTCCCAATAATGCAAAGTAGGCATATATCATTTTCGACCATTTTTTGGTATTTTTTTTTGTATTTTTAATGTTTTGTCCAAAACTATCAAAATTGATTTCCAATTTCATTTGATATTGTGTTTTAGCAGTGAATTGGAAACTTCTCAGATAAAAATTGTGGAAATAGGGTTGAATTTTTGTAAATCTCCCAATTTTACCATTCCGACCAATTTTTGTTATGAACGACAATTTCAAAAAATTTTTGTTAGAATTTGGTATATTAGGTTTTCTGAGGGTAGAAAATCTCTCTGTTAGAAATTGTCAATATTAGTCACGTGTTTGATGTGATGCACAATGTTAAAAATCCGACCAATTTTTGGGTTTTTAAAATTTTTAAAAATTATTTATACAGTTTTTTCGTCCCAAGTTGATATTATTTGATATTGTCGTGTCCGAAATTCCGAAAAATTACTCACTTGGCTTGTATAGTCCTTATAATAGGCGGCCTGGGCCAGGTAGTCATTAAATCACTGTTTTTAGTTAAATTTTAAGGATGTTTTTTTTTTTTTTTTTTTTTTTTTTTTTTTTTTTAATTCAAAATTTAACACTTGAGTCATGGCCATTAAATGTCTAGTTTACACTGCCATTAACCAATTTTAATGGCCGCTATTATTTTTTTATTTATTTTTTTTTTTCGTAAAATCTCCCAAAACCCCATTAGAACCAAAAACTTTGGACAATAATACTACGTAAATATAAAACAATATTCAGTATTTATGGTTATTTTCCCAAAATGTGACAGCAAATTCAAAAAACAAAAAAAAAAAAACATCAGACAATAACATGAAAATTGCCATGAGAAAGGTGTGCGCACATTTGCGAATACTGCTGCTGATGATGATATTTTCTTGCTGCTGTCGTCCGAACGTTCGTTCTTCGTCATTCCCAAGCATTTTGTGTATTT